CCCTGAACCCTAAACCCTTAAAACCCTGGGGCTCCTGGAAGAGATTCGGAACCTGTGCTCTTGCTGGCGGAAGCTCTATGGGCTCCTTCACCAGTGCCGGGAGGGTTTAGGGTTTGGTTCAGGGCTTAGGGTTTTGGGTTTAGGATTTAGGGCTTTGGGTTGATGGTCTAGGGTTTAGGGCTTTGGGTTTAGGGTTTAAGGCTTAGGGTTTAAGGCTTAGGGTTTAGGCCTTAGGGTTTAGGGTTTAAGGCTTTAGGTTTAGAGCTTTGGGTTTAGGGTTTCGGGCTTAGGGGTTTAAGAATAATATACGGGTTACTGTAAGGGCTACTGCATCCTACGGTTTCGGCTTTCTAGTTTAGGGTTCAGGATGTAGGTCTAAGGTTTAGGGTTGAGGGATTAGGGTCTGTAAGTTTGTGTGTATGGTAGAAGCCCAAAAGTTGGAAACCCCATAGCCTCAATCCTTAAGAGCCATATATAGGGAATCCCAGCACTATTTGGCCTATATCCGGTTTCCAACTTTATTGGGCTTACTGTAGGGGTCAGGGCGTGGGGTTTAGGATTGAAGCAGGGGAGCTCTTTGCTGGTGACGTGCTTTAGGGGTTTCGGGTAGTTCAGTGTTTACGGTTCTATAGAGGCCTTAATAATTACCGATACTATTTTGGGGGTTCCTTCTTTCATTTATAGTATAATACACCCCCCAAAACCCTATTCTAATAATTAAGGCCCCTACATTAGTCTCGGGTGTGTGCACTACGGCTCTGGAAACTGCTCGCAAGCCCGACCATCGAAACCTCCTTCGATTTCAGGGCTCTGTCCATAAGACAGACCTTCAGGGTTTAGGATTTATGAGGTTTAGGTATGAAACTGCAGAACCCGAAAATCATGCCCCCCAGAGCCATTTCACCTTAAACCCTAAACGCAAGGCATAGGCCGCCACCTACTGTGGCTGGGGGCGCTTCAGACCGTCTATGCCTTGAGTTTAGAGTTTAGGGTTTAGGGGTCGGGGGGTTCAGGGGTCAGTGTTTAGAGGTTTAGGGTCCAGGCCCGAACAGAAACAGAAATCAGCACGGTTACTTACAGAACCCAAGCTTGTGGTGCTTAGTTTAGGGTTTAGGGGTTTAGGGTTTAGGGTTTAGGGTTTAGGGTTTAGGGTTTAGGGTTTTGTCCATCACCGGAGTCGAACATCGTTTCACGAGAGTTGACTGTGAAAGGAGCCTACACTTGCACGTAGACCTAGAAAGCAACTACTTGGAACTGCCTATAGTCTCCATTGTCATTCCTGGTTACCTTGTAGAATCCTAAATATGCAACTGGCGAATCCCAAACAGGAAACCCACAATGAAATGCGACTTGTAATTCCTAAATTACTTCGGACTTGTAGAAGCCAGGTACAGCCAAGGTCATCGGGCTTTAGGGCTTACGGTTCAGGGTCCCCCGAAACCACTCATCAAGATTCCCAAGAAGAGCAACACGTGCTCAACAAAACCCGAACATAAATCCCATTTCATAGGCCTGGCTTCTTTGTAGGGAGAGGGAATATGGATCCTATAGGGTTTAGGTTTTAAGTTTTAGGGTTTAGGGTTTATTTATGAAGCATGCCGTGGTCTTTGCAGCTTTTGCATGCTGTTGCAATTCCAACCCATTAAGAAGGCGTCTCTGGATTTCAGGGCATGCCTTTGTGCATGTCAAACACTGGACCCAGACTCTAAATCCCTGAACCCTGAACCCGATGCCCCTAAACCCTAACCCTCTAAACCTTGAACCCGGAACCCCTAAAGCCCCTCAACCCTAAACCCCTAAACGCCTAAACCCTAAACCCTGAAACCGAGACCCTTATCCCAAAATACCCCTAAACCCCTAAACCCTGAACCCCAAGCCGCGTCCTCCTGAACTTGAAGAGGCGGTTCCTCTTCCCTCGGCTCGTCCTCAAGCCTGTCAAAGACATCGAAAGCTGATCCGGCTAGGGATGTATGTATCTGACTATCTGGCAGCTCTTATGAGTATGAGAGAACCCATATGATTTCATCGCAGATCTTCGAGTGACGGTTCAGGGTCGCGCTGAATTCTTTAAACCCCAAGCCCCACATGGCTAAGCCCTAAACCACTTGCCGCTCTAAAGGGGTTCAGTGCTTCGGGGTTTTGGGTTTAGGGGTTTAGGGCTCAAGACTTTATGGCAGTATGGTTCGGGAAGAAGCTGGGGATCAGAATTGGGGGTTTGGGGCTTAGGATTCCAAGCTTAAGGTATATACCCTAAACCCTAAACCCTAAACCCCGAAACCCTAAACCCTAAATATAGTTCTATGGTTTTAGGTGGGCTGTCTTCGAGCTTGGCTTCTTCAGGATCAGGCTCATGTATTTCAGGGGATCAGGTCTGTAGTACTGCTTGATGTCTGTTTTGTGTGGAACCGCTGATGTGATAATCATGATCAGAAAGGTTGTGAATAGGACGATGGACATGACGAGGGTGATCAACATGGAAACATGGATGTGGTGTTGGTCGCTAGTGGTGGTGACACAAGCACTTTTGAGTCAGGAGCCCAAGCTACGATGAAAAGACGATACCGAGCACGACGAACACTACGGCGGGGGCAGCGGCGCAAACTTCAGCTTGACCTTGTTTGATGGTGTGGGACAGGTTGATTGAATGAAAGCCTTGCTGATGCTGAACGGGATGCCGATCATAGTGTTTGAGATCCTGACTACGGTTCTCCTGTCAGGAATACTACGGAATATTATAATGACAGTAATGAGCATGGTAATATGATATTGACGGCCCTGCGTACTTTTCCTTCGGGCCGATGCTGGTTGTGGTTCTGATGAAGATGATGCAGTTGCGGCTGATGACAGGTGCTGACGACGAGGCTAACTGCGGTCGCGACGATGGTTGTGAAGCTGATATCGCAGATGAAGATCGTGGCGAAGGGAACTGTGTAGCAGTTTACCTATCAATGGCACGTGAACAATCATGAAAATTTATAAGGATGGTCATTTATTGTTTATACTAGTTGTTTCATAGTCAGCTGGATATTGATTATTGGATACTTGATATGAGACTTTCCGAAAATAGGGGACCCTAATATGGTACCCTAAACAGTAGGATCCTTATTCCAAGGACACCAAAATAAGGTACCCTAATTTAGAGAACTACCCATATGATATGTGGTGCAGCTGCAGTCGATGGTGATGCCTGCGGCTGCGGGTGACCGTTGCACGGGCTGCGAGCTCATTGGCCGAATGTGGGTCCGTTACGGTGGAGTTTAGGGTTTAGGGTTTAGGGTTTAGGGCCTATAGGGTTTGGGCGTGTAGGGCTTTATGAAGCGGTCGTCGGACGAGGCGAGACTGACGCAAGGATACAGGGCTTAGGAGTTCAGCGCACTGTCCGCTAGCCGCCTTAGGGGTGTTGTCTTCGACGGAGCCTGCTGCAGCCTAATAGTACAGAATTGTGTAGATTCACGGCGCCAAATGCCCAAACTCAATGCCCAAGAGGGCTCAGTGCAGGATCAAGGGTGCACAGGATGCCAAGAACTGCTGGGACCGCCTGTGTGGCTAACTATGCAACTATGTATACCGCACCTCCTTCACGGTTTGGGCTTTGAGGTGCTCGTGCTTGACGATAAGAATCCACCAGACTGAGCACCAGACACGTCCTCAAGAAGCTGTAGATTAGCCACCCTCTCGTCCTTGACCTTGCGGCACGTGGCTTCAATTGATTTAAGGCTGAGGGCAGGCCTCAAAAATGTCAGCTGGGTGCTGCACTGCAGTGGCAACAGTCCGTGCAGCTTATGGTTTGGCTTGGATTTCAACAAGACCGGGTGCAGCAGAATGCCACCATACAAGTTGAATCTACTCAAAGGTCAACTCGCAAGCTTCGTTCGCATTTGCGGCTTTATGACCTGGGACTTGAGATTTATGGTTCAGGGTTTGGGATGTATCAATTCCGATTCTCACCACGCTTTTTCCGCATGCAAAAGCGCATTCCGGAGGTTTCACTCGGTCACGGATCACATCAACACCAAGAATCGAGAAGAATGAAAGTTGTCTGAAACCCTAAACCCCACACCCTAATCCCTAAACCCCAACCCCTGCTCCCCAAACCCCAAACCCTAATCCCTAAACCCCAAACCCTAAACCCAAACCCCTAATCCCTACACCCGAAACCCGAAACCTGAAATAAGGGACTATCCGAGAACCTGAGTGCTAGCGACTCGGAACTGCACAGCAATGAACCGGTGTTGGTCATCGGCACTACACTGTAGTATACTATAGTACATTGTAGTGTAATATGTTATATATAATAGTATGTTATAGTCTATTATAATACAGTATATTATAGTATATTATAGTATAGTACAGTATAATAGTATACTGTAGTGTAGTATAGCATAGTATAGTATATAGTAGCTGCGTGCCGGGCTGTCCCATCTTCGTACATCACAGACACGGAGATCCGGACGCAAGCAGCCCGCCTTGCGAAACGGGTTGTCTCCGGGTTTTGTCACGGGCTAAAACGACCAGCAAAGAAACCCTAAACCCTAAACCCAGAAGCAACCCTAAACCCTAAACAACTCGTACCATAAACTCCGAACTCTCAGAACTAGCAGTCCCAGGTCTGCATACGGGCGCCAACACATTAGACGAAACGCCCGGGAACTACAGAAACTGAGAGGGCTCAGACAGCCTGCACGCTTGGGAATAGGACGGGATAAGGAATACCGGCCATGTTAAACGAAACACTCGTGGCCGTGTTGCCGCAGTAATTAGACTTTTTAGGCTAGGGCGTTGGTATATTCTATTATAGTAATGATAACGGCAACATAAGTAACTTCATGAATAGTAGCAACAGTACTAGTACTTGTAATCCTGAAACGAATGAAGAAGAAATTGAACCGTGCACCTGTAAACCCTTCCCCGAACCCTACCACAGCATCTATGCCAAACCGCCAAACTCCCGAAACCCCAAAAGCCCGCAAAAGCTTTCAAAGCCGAAATCCGAGTGTCTCTAGATACGATGGTAACAAAATAAGCCTGTGTGGGATTGCCTGAACCCTCAACCCTACCGTAAACCCTGGACCCTAAACTCTGAAGCAGGGGTTCGATATCTGTTTCTGCACCGGGAACGATGTCCCTAGCAAAATAGGGCGGCCGCTGTTCAAGCAAGCTACAAGAACAAATAACAGCCACACGAGCACGAGCCATCCGAACGATGAGAAGTCTCATGTTAAGAACAATGGCAACTGACATCCTCTTGGCTCTTTAACTTGCTCCCCAAAGAAACAGATGAAAAGGCTATAACCTTGTAGAATAGTACTGCTCTAAATAAAACATGCCCGGAAGATGGAACTGTTGGGTATTGCAGGGCCGGAGCAGCGCATGTAAGCCCCTGACGCAGGCTTGCCAAATACCATCCCGGCTCGCCCATTGCACAGGACCCGATCACCTCGGACAACCGTAGGGTTTTTAATAAATCACTTGTTAACAGCACAGGTAATATACAATACCATACAACTGAATAAACTACAATTGACAATGTAACACAATATGGGCAGTTCTCTAAATTAGGGTCCCCTTTTAGGTCCCCAATATAGTACGGCGCCCTTCTGAAAAGGACCCTAATTTAGAGAACTACCCAAAAAGTAGTATAGTCTGATCTACTCTCATCTTCTACGGTTTTGTGTTTCGGGCCTCTTGGGCTTGTGCCCTAGAGGCTATAGAATGTGCCGAGTTTGGGCTTCAAAGTAGAATAAGCTCTAAAAGTCTTCACGCTGAGCCCTAGGGTTCAGGGCTTTAGGGACCCAAACCCTATGCGTTGAATTGCTGCAGTGCGGGAAATGCACAGAAAAATACAACTCCACACCATCAACCACATCCCTACCCCCCCCCCCCTACACCGACAAAAAACAACGGTAGAAGCCTAGCGTGAGCCGAAATCCTAAATCCTAAAGCCTGATCCCTAGGTCCAAAAGCCTGAACCTAAACCCTAAAGCCTAAACCCTTAAATCCTAAACCCTATAAACCCTATAAACCTTGAATGCTGCTGCTTCCATCTTCGCCTCGGTAGAGTCCGCCAGCAAGCTCGTTCATGTCGTCAGGCCTGCTGCAGGGTTAGGAGCTCAGCTATTGGTGTTTGTTCCCAGAGAATAAGGAAGCATATATGCATGTATACACACAAAACATATGAATATATATATATATATACATATATATATATATACATATATATATATATATTTGCTACCCCCCTCATGTACCGACGCCTTGTGCTTGAATCGTGTGCGAAAACTCACGTAAATCGCTACTTTACTTTGTATGGTAGCATAACTGCTCATTGCTTGCAGTGCGCTCTACACGTACGAAAAAGTTCAT